CTCTTGGTACGGGGGAATATGATCACGTCTCCTCGTATCAATGGGTTGATCCCTCTCCAACGCGAGGCGTCGCCCAGTTCATCGGGGAGAGGGGCTTCAAGAGGTATCTCGTCTATGTCTCTGCGGGGGAGATTGGGGATAATCCTCTATCTGACGGGTAGGAGGAGAATCAAGCCTCCTGTGTCTTCTAGGGTCTCTTCGAGAATCTTCGAGCACCCTTAATCTATCCCCTTGTGAAAAGATCAAGTAGTTTGTTTGATTTATAACTGTGAACAATGCCCTGGTCGTGGCATCAACACCTGTAGGAATGGGGACCTCTTGGAATGCGTTCGGATGGTAGTTCTGGGGAGGACGATGATCATCTTCGAGTCATCAGGACAGTGATGACGATGAGGCAGTTAGTCTCTCTCTATATTCTGAGGGGTCGGGTATGTCAACGACGTGGCCAATGTTGTTGTTGTCGGTGTTATTATTGTTATCGGTATTGTGGCCAGCGGGACCAGTGTTGTTTGCACCGGCGTTGTTGTCGGTGATGTCGTTGTTAACATTGACATGATGGACATTCAAGTTGTTTTCTACCGTGAGGTCAACCATGATAGTCAAAAAAGGAGTTAGATTAGATTTTTTCTTATGCAAGTGAAAGACGGGGAAGCTTGTTCCCCACAGACGACGCCACTGGTCGTACCTGACTAGAATGGACCGTCACAATGTACTTCGAGCAATACTTGAGAGTGAGGTGGAGGGGTACCTGCAAGACACTCCGATGCCAAAATGAGATACGAAATGGTGCAAGCAAGTAAGAGAGTGAGAAATGTTCAATACCCAACCCTCTTAAGAGAAAGGGTATTTATAGCCCCCAGCGCTGGGCCAAGGTCTCCTTATTGGGCTGGTCAAACAGGCCCAAAGTGGAGACTGTCAGGTCCTACGTGAGTAGTGGAGACCAGCACGTGGTCCCCCACATGGTGACTTTCTCTGGACGATCAAGAGGATATGGATGTGGTCTTTCCAGATCTACGAAGACTCTGTGATATCCGGAGACGTTGATAGTCAGCCCTACGAGGAGGATACTCATAGGGATGTTTCTGCTTATCGTGGATGCTCCCTGCTAGACGTGAGGCCATATGGGAGGATCAGTCTTGGTCGAGGAGAGGATTAGAGGGTTACCTCGGGGTCGTCCTGACCGGCGATGATCTTCCCAAGACTAACTGGGTTTATCCTCGTGTGGTGAGGCTACCTCCTCAGAAAGAGTGGAAGTTGCTGCCCGACGTAGTCGAGGGTAAAACTGGTCAGTATACCTTGATCGGCATAATTGGGTTGGGCCTCACATGGTGTTGGGCTAAGGGCAGGCCTAGTCCAGAATATTTGTTATAATGTTTCACTTGGTTTTCCTATGAATTTATTCTTGGTAGATAGTTTATGGCTCTTTTGTTGTATGTTATTCTATATTGTTGTTGTGTGTTATGTGTTGACAATTAAGTTTGCGGTTTCACATGTTGATAATTTCCATAGTGTTTGTAGGACTCAAGAAAAGTGAATGAAGAAACAACAACAACAAACTTTATCTAGTTTTAGAATGTATTAAAAGAAATATAAGAAGTATGAAGCTATTATGTTAACTTCATCCACCTTATATTTTTTCTTCATACCTTCACAAACTAGATGAACTTTATATGGCGATGATGATGGTGGTAGCAAGCGTATAATATGAGTTGATAAAATTTTTTTCATGTGCATCTAGCAAGTGTTTATGGTTCTTTACTTATCACTTAAAGCTTCAAGAAATGGTTAGTTGTTCAATTCTCCCAATCCATGTAAATTAATTTGATGTTGTTGTTGATAAATATTGTTAGTGAGTTTGTTATATCATATGAGATTGCTTGTTTCACTAACCCCTCGTTGAACTTGCACTCATATTGTAATTCAACTTAGATGATCTAATGTTTTTTCAAATTGCATACATCTTGTAAATCATAATTTCCTCTTTAGCATATAGAATTTCATTCAATGTCACAAATTCTTCAAAACAATATTCATAAATGGATGCCACTCTGGATCTTTCACACAAAACTTGATGTTTGAAAAATAAAATATAAAAGAAGAGGAAATCAAATTTTATGTGAAAGACTCAGACTCACATCCATTTATCAACATTACTTTGAAGAATTTGGAATTGAATCAAATCCTATAGGCTAAAAGAGGAAATCATGATTTACAAGATGCTTGCAATTCAAAAAATATTGGATCTTTTAAGTTGTTTTTCAAAAATAACTTAATTTTTATGATTATTGTCTCAAAAATCTATTTGAATGGTTGTATATGGTTAATGAGAGGCATGGAAAAACAAGCAATCCTAAAATTTAGGTATCCAGATCTCAGATGTCCTAAAAGATGTTGAGACACCTTTCTCTGAACAAACACACAATGACAAGGTATATGATAAACAAAGTGAAGAAAAGTAAAGAACACACATGATTATTAGCCCAATTCGGTGTATAACAACACCTACTTTGGGGGCTACCAAGTCAGGGATCAAGTTAACTAAAATAGTATCAATTTGAAGCTAAACTCCCTTGTTTACAACTTCTCACTTAATCACTATCCTTGCTTAACTTCTACCTAAGACTCACCTAGGTATGAGACTCTTCTAAAATCCCTTCCAATCACAAACCAGTGACTAAACAATTCTAAACACTTAGAAAATCACAGAAGTTACACTTCAAAGACACACAATCATTCACTGGTTAAAATACTTGGAATGACTAACAGAACTTACAACTCAAAAACAAAGTCCTACTCTTTCATCAATATGATAATCGAGAGGCTCGTAATAAACACACAAACCCTAACACAATACAATGTAAGTTCGACACACTTTCTAGGGTTGAAGCCTTTTATTTATAATCTTCACTGAACTGGATTTGGGCTTCACATATGAAGTTGGATATGACAAAGGCGCTGCAGAATTATCTCCTCAAGGATAAGCCATTAATCATTAGTTTCCTAAATTATCTCCATAATTAGAAACTAACAATTCTCCTCAAAACCAGCCTGGATCTTTTTAATCTTCAATTTGAGCGCCACATAGGATAACATATTATCTACAGAATATTTTGCACCTATAACAAACAAAAAAATACAACAGTCCAACTGTACAAAATCCCGACGTCAAAAGAACCTGCATAGGACATTGCATTTGACATGTTACTCCAGTTGATAAAACATTTTCATTCAACATGTCTAAGCTAAGTTAGTTTTATCAAACATAATGCCAATCAAAACAAATAGAGAATTAACAATCTCCCCCTTTTAACTTATTTTAGCTAAAACAACTTAGCACATCTTTCACAGAAACAATAATAGCTCAAGTTTGAGAAGCACCTCAAACACACACACAATCAGAGACACATGAGTAGAAGTTAGTACATCAAATATCAGAGTAACAACTAGTGGAAGCTACTCAACACACTCCCCCTCAACGAATAATGGTTAGCTCACACACAAATACTTCCCCTTTTTAGCCATAATATGATAAAGGTCAGAAGCTAACCAACAGCTCATTAGCTCCAAAGCTAAGTAGACTCTTGGAACTTAATCTTTACAAAATCATAAAAGCAATAGAAACAAGTACACAAAGCAAATCCAAAAAGGTTTATAAATCCAATAGTCGTGCATCGAAAACAAATTCTGCTCTTTCTTCATCAACATTGGCATCAGCAGATGTAACAAATTTATTATTAGCAGCAGCATCAATACTCTTGACAACAGAGTCTTCTCTTGGGAGGATGTCACGACAATGATTGGAACATGTGTTCCATCAAGAAAGCCATAATGCAAAGAGAATTTCTTTCTCTTTATAACCAATAAAATACCAGAGAGCAAGTGGTAATATTTATTGACCCATACCAATAGAAGTAATTGTTATAAGTCCTCATAGATACATATTTCTAGTCTCCTTCTCAAATTTTCAAATTAAACAACATCTAAAGCTTTAGTAAAAATATCAGCAAGCTGATTTTCAGTACTAACATGCTCAAGAGTTATGACTTTGTCTTCAACAAGATCTCTTATGAATCATGCCTAATATCAATGTGCTTAGTCCTACTATGCTGAATAGGGTTTTTAGAAATATTAATAGCACTCAGGTTATCAACGAATAATTGTTATGACATCTTGAGTGACATTGTATTCAGTCAACATCTGCTTCATCCATACCAGTTGAGAACAACTGTTACCTGCTGCTATGTATTCAGCTTTGGCAGTAGACAAAGATACACAATTTTGTTTCTTGCTAAACCATGAAATCAAGTTGTTTCCTAAGAAGAAACATCCAACTGAAGGACTCTTTCTATCATCAACACTACCAGCTCAATTAGCAGGACTTCAAATGCAGATGCATGAAAGAGATATCCAAAAGATACCTAACGAAAAAAGGTTTGTTGCCTCTTCAAAGCCACGCAAGCAATAGGAAAATTCTACACAAAGCTCCCTTGATGAGGATTGCACACTTAATTCGCTTCGAAACTCCTTAAAACTTTTCAATAATATTTCTTTTACTTACCAATAATCACATCAAATTGCAGTCTATTTTTCATATATTTTTATCAACAAAAATCATGAAAAGCAAGAAAAATGATAGAGAAAGCCAATTAAAATCTTAAACAGAGGGGGTGTGAAGCTGGATCTGATGGTGTGATTCAGGAAACTGATGCTAAGCCCAATCAATGGTCCAGTGGTGATTTCTTTGGTGATAAGCCTTCATTGCTGTAAAAAAAAAAGAACGCACGAGCTTAGGCAAAGAGAATGGGCCGGTCCACAACAATCCATCAATTCAGCCTTATTATCATTATTAAACATATTATTAGTATTAAACAAAGAGAATAAAAAAATAGTGAAAAGGAAAGCACATAAACGATGCATTTAGATAGAAGGGTAGGGTTTGTTATCCAAGGTGACGGTTCAGACTTCCTCTACACAGAAGCGCTTCTTCCCTTTCACAAAAAATGCAGCGACTCGAATTCACCGATCAACACATCGTAGGGCCGTCGCTTCCTCGTGCTTGCCTTCGTCTTAATCGATTTTCCGGCGAGTTCCACCATGAGTTCGTCTCAACTCTCCTCGATTCGTTTCGTTTCTCACGATCTTCCGTCTCGTCTCTGCCGCGATCTGCTTTCCTCAACGCATCGTTCTCGCGAGAGCCGCTCATCAATCTCTCAGATCGAAACCAAAAACGAACTCCGTAGGTTCTTCAATCGACTCAGATAGGCGATTTTATTTTTCTTTCTGCTTCCTCTTCGTCTTCTACTTCCGATGGTTTGCGTTTCTGTGCGGTTTTCTGTGTGACGAAGAGCAATGTTGTTATTGAATTCACGACGGTGGTGATGAATATTGAAAAAGATTCGGTTATTCTGTTGCAGAGAGGTGATGAGGGAGATTTGTTGATCGTCGAAGCTTGAAGGTTGGGTGTTGGAGAAGGCTGCGATGAAGATTGCAGAAAATTGATGATGGATTGCAGAGAAGTTGAACTCAGTTATCGCGATGGAGAGTTGAAGGAAGATGAAGGTTCAAAGGAATTTTTTTAGAGAATAACTGATGTGAGTTTTTTTTCTGTTTAAGCTTTTTTTTGGTATGAATCCTGTAGAATGAATTGTCTCTATTGAATTTTCTCTCTGAATTTCTGTTATATGTGAAATGAATCTTGGTGAATGATTAGTGAAATGAATCCTGAAAATCCTCTCCCACTTCTGTTATGTAGCCTGAAAAAGTTTGTTAGAGATTGAAGTGATCTCATCCCTTGATTTGATCAGTTAGTTACAAACTTGAACGGTGAGATTGATTCAGTTGAGAAACAGCTTGAGGAGCTTGAAATCTGTTATTCTGACCTGTCATTTTTCTGACTTAATTCTCTGCTTTTTCTATTCTGTTAAGTACTTTCTCACGGTTTTTCATAATTTTTTATTCTGTTTTCAATTTCTGGTTTTCTATTTATGCAGGGCTGGCATTGCTGCATCTGTCTTTATTTGAACTTCTGTGAACTGTTTGTGTGCAGGGTAGCTTTTAGCTATGTGGATTAATATTGATGATGCAATCAATTCTCAAGGCTGCACGTCTTTTTGTAATTTTGTGTAACTATAGGCAATGATGTAAAGAAAACCTTGAGTAACTTGTATTCCGAGCAGTAAGACTTTTCACTTTCCTTTGGCCTTGAACTTGAATTTTCAATTTGAATGAAATGCCTGAATCCATGGCCTATGGAGATAAATCTCAAGTGTGACTTTGTAATGGTTTTTGGATAGTGTAGTGCATCTTCTATGCCTTTGTGATGAATAAAAATTTGAATCAACTTCCTTCTAATGCGTTAACTTAAACTCCAAGTCTTCTTCACTTTGCAACTTTTTTTCTTGTGATCTTTACTTTGCAACCACAATTATTTAATATGGGCTTTTGCCTTTTGGTCAAAATCTCGGCAATTCGCTTCCACCCTTGAAATGATTCTAATAACACCATGTAAAACTCCAAGTCCAATTCTCAAATTTCTTGCGTAAGATCCAAAGTAGAGGCTTGTAACACAAATAAATGAAAATGAACCAAACTTGTATTCCCAAATGATGATCCATAAGGACTCTATATCTCAGTTCAAAAGCCCTTTCTGGTAACAAATGAGACCACCTCTCATATGATGAATGAGTCTAAGTGCTCAGAAATAGCCCATGATAAATCACAAATATAGGGAAGTAAACCATGATCCATGATTCTCAATTAAAGCAACATTTGAGGAAAGCTTTAAGCAACAACATATAGCGTCTTTAATTGATGAAAATATAATCACGCAACTTTAATAGAAGCATCATGTCTTGATCAACAACCCTATCTCAAGCACATCATAAGAATGTCTACTTAGAAACCCTTATATGCAAGTATGCATTCTTGAGCTTAAAAGGGAAAATCATGAGGTCATAAGTTGTAAAACAAGTAATTAATAGAAACTCTTTAGATGAAGATCAAATTTGAAAGATGTTCTAGATAGCCATGAATTCCAAAACCTGGTTCATAGGATCTATAGTTGAAATAATGCCAAGCTCAGGCACCAGGGCTTGAAACCCTAATTCCACGATTCACTGTTCTTTTGACCCTCGGGTGTTTTATTGAATGCATGACTATGCAGATGTCTTAATGAAAAGATGCACATGAATGTAAAGTCCAAACCATATAAAAAAGAAGATATGAGAGAAAATTTTAGATACACAATAGTAGAAAAATAAGAAGATTAGAAAGCATCTTGCTGATGCTATAGTTTTTTTGTTGTCTTTGGTAGGCTGGATCCGAACTATCGTTTTGTATACTTTATCTATTTTTTGAATTAATATATATTTTTCTTTGATTAAATTTTTTTTTAATTTTAACGTTGCAAATTCGTTTTTACAATTTTAAAATTAAAAGTATTACAATAAATATTAAGTTTAGTCATATTCATTCTGACACTTCAGAAATTATATAATGTAAAAAATTGAACTATCGTAACAGATATTCTATTAAACTAGAGGTACAATTATATTTTTACATCAAATTGTTAAGGTAGACGTACAATTATATTTACATCAAATTATTAAGGTTGAGGTACAATTGAGGGCGGACGGAATAAAATTATCTCTTAATCGTTACAGTTATTATTGAGTGGATTCTTTTTAATACTGAAATATGCTTTTGATATCTACTAATATGAATTATTTTTGTCTTAGTTTATGAAAAATAATAATTCATATACCTGTAATTTAAAAAAAAAAAGTCCTGTTGTTTTTTATTATAAAAAATATTGATTTTTTTTATGTAGTATATGGTCATGGTAAATATTACACATTAACACCTTATTTTATTAGTTATTATAAATTAATTAATTAGTTATAAAATAGGTTCGAGCATGTGTGTCTCTGTTGAATTAAATATGATTTGAATAACAATAATATTTATTTATATAATTTTGAATTTTGATGATAATTAAAAGTAATAAATATTTTAATGTGTTTGTTTTTATGTATAGAATAATTTTCAATTATTTATAGAAAATAAAAAAATGATCATTTATGAAGAAAAAAAATGATCATCAGTGTCTGAATCAACAAGTTTGACCATTTAAATCTCAAATCTAAATTATCATCTGCATCCCGAAGATGCATCCAGATGAAGGAAATGATCGTTAGCACAAACATCAACAAAATTGACAAAAAGACTATTTGTACTTAGCTAGCAGGCATGATCATCTACGGTAATTTTAGTAAACAATCACTTAGTTTTAAATTTATTTCTTGAAGGACCAAACTAGTAAATCATGTGGCACATTGTGTGATTTTTCTTGAGAAAAATGTGCATTAAAGTTGTCAAAAATTGGTGACGAAAGATGTTGAAAAAGACTTGAGTAAAACTATAAGTAAACAATTTAAAGATATAATAATCCGATGGGTCGAATTGATTATGTAAGTAAAAACGAACAAATAATCTTAAGAAAGAAAGAAAAAATATTTGCATAAATAAAATATGGTAGTAGTTTCATACATATCCTTCAGAAAACTCGTTTCTCGCTTATGTGTGAGTACTTTGAGTGTGTATTGAAGTTTACAATGATTTTTTCACCAAGAATCCTAATACTAGAATCCCTATTTATAATATTCGTAAAACAACCGTCTTCAACGTTCAACTGTCCTCCTTCCAACATGCCATTCTTGCATGACGCTCTTGTCTTCAATCAATCTCCACGTATCTTTGGTGTTTTCAGATGAGATCAAAAAATAGTTACCAGGTATGATTTGAAACTTGCCTTGGTCGAACGTCCTCAGATATGTCTAATTGAACATCTCTGAACCTTTGGAAATTTTCGCTAAGTCCCAGACCAAAGTGTTCAGTAAAGTCGAGCATTGGTACTTCGACTCGAACCTTGCTTCTGGTCCAAATATATACTAACTTACACTTGTGCAGAGGTTTAGACCATTTTCACTATCGAGCTAGCGTAATACTTTTTCTTGGCTAACAAATTTCACCCCTAAAAAATGCCACTTTCAATTCATTTTGAGAGACATGTGGCATTTTTGAAGTTCCGTCATTATTCAATGTTGTGCGTTGATGTCACCATCATCGTTGCTACCTATAAAAATGTCTTTTCAATACGTGCAAATGCAGAAAGATCCTCATGGTTCCGATTACCTAGGAGATCGTGGGCCATGCCAAATCTCAACTCTCCTTTTTATGGGACACATGTCAGAATAATTCTGATTTTCTTGAAACAACAAAGAAAATGAAAGGTTTTTCTTACAACTATAAATAGCTTTCTCCCTTATTTATTTTTCTTTTCACTCATTTCATCTTCCTTCTTCAATAAAACATCAGAGAAATACTCATATTTTTCCTGCAAAAACTTCAAATTTCCTTATAATCATCACTCAAATGGCATCTGCATCAACTTCAAAGCAAAAAGTTCCTTTTGTTGTATCCATTAGAACCTCCGTTCTTGCTAGGAATTAATTTTTCATTCTTGAACCTCCCTTTGAAGAAGAGAAATCCCTAATTTGGAACTCTTAGGTATTGATACAACACGTGCCTTTCTAGGCCCTTTCCATTGTCTTAACATGAATGTAAAGTATGTTAGTGAATTATTTCCTTGTTATGAACCTACTAAACCTTTTGCGGCCATAAATAAACCTTTAGACTTTACAAACATGTTTGGTTGTGTTTTCCCCTCTGCCCCTTATACTGATCAGTTGAATTACCTTAATTGGTTAAATAAGGTAAAAGCTAAAAAAGGAAAAACCTAGAAAGATTAAGGTCTTTTCGACTTGATTCAACTCTCTAGGGTAAGACCTACATATATCCAAAGCATGATACTTGTTGCGCTTCACTTTTAGGAGGGTTCGACAAACACCTTTCAACTGCATTGTGGAAAGGTTACGCCAACGTTGTTCAACATGGCTGCATTACTGGCCTTCAATCGACTGGTCAGGTCTTTGATCATGATATCAAAAAACAAGATAAAATAGGTTTTAACTTGAAGCGTGCTAGTTACGCAAATTTTATCTCTGATCATTATGATGAAACAACCAATGAAGTTTCCGACAAAGAGCATATTACTTTTCTGTCCTTATGGTTGTCCCATTATATCTTTTGTTTTGGTTCCCTGCAAGTAGCAAATTCGTTTGTTACTCTAGGAAACCAAATTCACTCTGGAAGAAATTTATGTCTGAGTCTGTTACTCTTAGAATCCCTTTATAAGTCTTTAACCCACTAATCTCAATAAATGCAAGATTTTGGCCCTATTATAACCCTAAAGGTTCCTTTCTACTATCTGGTCCTTTCTTTCTCCTCCAACTCTGGCTTAATGCCATGTTTGAAACAGCTTTAATTGCTAATAAACAAAACCATCCTGTTGTGAAAGATAAGGAATGGCCCATCGAGGG